ATAATTTTTCTTAAATAAATTTACTAAACACACACACACATATATATATATATATATATATATATACCTCAATTCTTAAATAATTTTTGCCGTAAAATATCAAAAAGAAAAAAAAATAAGGACCTTATACTTCAATTTTTTCACAAAAACTTAGAGGGCAGTGCCTTTTGTCTTATTCCCACCTGCCACACCATTTTTAACTCTTAAAAGTGAAAAAGTGTGAAAATGGAAAAAATCCCTCGTTACATTTTTGAGATCTTACTCCAAAGCAGAAAATACAGAGAAAAATGAACAGGGGAAAAACTAGATTAGATGGAAACACAGCCGAGGTTGAGAAACTTTTCCAAAAGAGGAACACGGAAAGGCAGAAGGAGGGGATGAGGCTTTGAAGGCTCCGAGCAATTCCCATGTTCCCACGCGGCGATATCGCCAACATCTTTCAAGAAATATCCAGCTAAGTCACTTCAATAAGTTTGCTCTTTTCCTTTGCCGGCTCCCCTTTTCTAATTATCAGATACAGTTTGGCTTGCAATTGAGGGCGTAGTTCTGCTTCTGCTTCAAATCTGCTTGGCGCAACTAATTTGATTATCAGTATCTACTTTCTTCAGTTTTTTCTATTGAACTTGCAGGTATGCTAGATCTTGGATCATGATTTTGTGGGCTTATGTTATTGTTAAAGTACATATTAAATGAAAGATATCTAAATTTTATTTTGGATGCATGACCTTATCTTTGATATCATTTGCTAGATTTCTTATTTTTAAATTGTTTTTTTAACAAATTGTTAGATTTTTTTATACTCAGATTTACTTTTACCTAATTTATTTGAATTATGTTTTGCTTTCAAGAAAAACTCGTCAAACCTGTGATTCTAGAGAAATATAGACTTACAGCAAATATGCTATTATTTATAATTTGCTTGGTTTAATTTGGTCATCCTCGTCAATTTCTTCAGTTTCATCAGTTAAACCTAAACGTATATTATTTATTATCTAGATTTTAAATCTTGATTCTCTTTTTTCTATGAGAAAAAAGAAAAAAGAAAAAAAGAACAATAGATACGGAATCATTAGCCTATCAACTTTCTACCTAAGTAGTCCACTTTTTTTGTTTTATCTCTAATGTTAAGTGTAATTTGGTTATAACTAAAGTAATTTAAATTTTGAACCAAATTAATGTGTTCTTGGTTTGGTTAAGTAATTCAGTTAAACTGATTTTTTTACACAATTTTATATTTTTTATGATAAAATAATTAATTAAAATAAACAAATAAAAATACAAATAAAATAAAAAATTATCTATGTACTTTTATGTGAACAGACAACTACTACCTCTTAACTAAACTATCCTCTTGTATTTTCGTTTCGGAGCTGAAGCTTCTTGTAAACTGAAACCATTACTCTTCTATTTCTATTAATAAATTATCGTTTTGCTGATGGAGATAAAATAAGCAAAATGCTGCAACTTTATATTAAAAAATTGATTCAAAACACTAATTGTGCATCTATACATAATACTCTCTTCATCCATTATATGCGCCACCAACGTATCTTTCTTTTTTCGCTCCACAGAGGATTCCAACATCAACCATTTCTTTTCTTCAAGTTATGGATCCACAATGGGCTGACCTTCTCCTGAGTCCCATCATCAATACCACAATTTCCAAGTTGATTTCCAATGCTGCTGAGCAAATCAACCTTGCTGTCGGCTGGAAGAAGGAGCTTGAAACGCTTCAGAACAAATTGCGCATGATCAAGGATGTGTTGCTGGACGCAGAGGAGAGACAGGTGCGAGACCGTGCTGTGAAGGGTTGGCTTGAGAAGCTCAGGGATGTCGTTTTTGAGGCTGATGATGTGCTGGATGAGGTTGCTTACGAAAGTGAGAAGTGCAAGGTGGAGAATCAAAACCAAAAGCTGAAAAATGTGCATAAATTCTTGACCTCCAATCCCCTGCTATTTCGTAGAGAGATTGCTGAGAAGATTAAGAAAATTATTGCATCAGTGGAAGCTATTAACAATGAAGCCAGAGAGTTTGGACTCCAAAATAGACTTGCTGGCACAGTGGTTTCTGAGCATAGAAGAAACGCACAGACCCATTCCACTATTGGTGATTTATCAGAAGTTGTGGGGAGAGAGGATGATATCTCCAAAATAGTGCACCTCCTAACTGACTCATCGAATGGGTTACGCCTTTGTGTATTGTCTTTAGTGGGTATGCCGGGTCTCGGTAAAACCACTTTAGCACAAGCTGTGCGTAATGATGAGCGAATCAAAAACTATTTTGGTAAAATAATGTGGGTTTGTGTATCAGATAATTTTGAAGTAGAGAAGATTTTAAGAGAAATGCTGGAGTCTCTCTCCGGAAATTCTTGTGCAGTAAAAAATGAAGATACTGTGATTCAGAAAATAAGAGAAGCCATGGGAGAGAACAACTTTCTTCTGGTACTGGATGATATGTGGGATGAAGAGAGTCATGGGAAATTTGAAGACTTGAGAAGCTGTTTGCTAGGATTATGTAAAATGTCAAGGAATAGAGTTATTGTGACAACTCGGAATGAAAAAGTTGCATTGAAAATGAGAACACTTCCTAAACACATGCATCATCTTGGGAAACTACAAATTGCTGATTGTTGGTCTATTATCAAGAAGAGAGTACTTGGAGATGCTTCTATAACTCTAGAATTGGAGAAAATCGGAAGGGATATTGCTCAATTATGTGGAGGTGTGCCATTAGTTGCAAGGGTTATAGGAGGTATTTTGTGTACAGAAAGGTTAGACAAAGTCACGTGGTTGTCAATTAAAAGCAAGATTGAGGCATTGGGTCCACTTGAACATGATATAGAAATCAGAGGTGTGATAAAATTGAGTTTTGATCACTTACCAGAGTCAGCTTTGAAGCAATGCTTTGCATTCTGTTCTATTTTCCCAAAAGATTTTGTTATGAAAAGGAAGATGTTGATTCAGCTTTGGATGGCTAAGGGATTTCTCCAATCTGTTGAAGAAAGTCTTATGACAATGGAGGATGTCGGTAATAAATATATAAATGATTTGTTATCGTATTCCCTCTTTCAAGAGCAGCAAAGAGATTCTCTTGGAACCCTTATTAGTTGCAAAATGCATGATTTGATTCATGATTTTGCACAATTAATTTCAAAATCAGAGACAATAATTTGGAAGACTCAAAGGAATATTTCTAATGTTCGGAATTTGAATCTCATTTATGGTGTGGGAACAACGCCAACAAATTTAAGAGATGTTGCTCCAAAGCTACACTTTGTTTTTGAAAGATGGTTTTTCTAGTGATATGAAGGTGGATCTAAAAAGTTTACAAGTTTTGAGTTTTGTTGATTCTCTTGGTACTGAAGAATTGCCACCATGTTTTGGCAACATAAAGAATCTGAGGTATCTAGACATTTCAGGAACTCAGATAACAAAATTGCCAAAGTTCATCCCCATGCTGTACAAATTGCAGACATTTAGATTCATGACTTGCAGATCTCTAGAAATGCCTCTTGAAGGAATTGGAAGTTTAATCAACTTGAGGCATATATACTTCAGTGATGAAGAGCAGATGCCTGCAAACATTGGGAAACTAATGTGTCTTCAAACATTGCCAAAGTTCTTTGTAGGCACAACAAAGGGACGCAAAATTGAAGAATTGGGCAACTTGAGATGGCTCAGAGGAAGTTTGCAAATCTATAAACTTGAGCATGTTAAGAACAGATCAGAAGCTATGGGAGCAAAGTTAAATGAGAAGACAATTTCTAAGTTGAGATTAAGATGGGGAAAAGAAAGCAATCAAGATGAAGATGTTCTGGAAGGTCTCCAACCACACTCAGATCTGCAACTATTAGAAATTGATGGTTATGGAGGCAAAAACTTGCCATCATGGATGTCAAAGAATGTTTTGAATTGTGATTTGTTTTTGCTCAAGAATTTGGCGGAACTGAGAATTATGAAATGTCAAAAGTTAAAAAGTATTCCAGTAATGACAGGATTTTCATCTCTTCAGATGCTTTTTATTTCAAGCTGTATTGAATTGAGTACCATAGTCGATGGAGCATTTGCTGAATTGGCGTCCCTTAAAGGATTACACATACTCAATTGTCCTAAGTTGGAAAGGGTTTCATGCAATGGTTTATTATTCCCACAGTCACTCTTAATTCCCGATTGCAGAGAGTTGAATAGCCTTTCAACCTCCACGTGTCTAAAAGTTTTACTCTTGCGTGGCTGTAAAAGTCTAAGTTCTATTCCAAGTCTACGTGGGCTTAGTTCTCTTGAAGAGGTAATATTTATAGATTGTGGATTAGAGCATCTACCCAGCGGGCTATCATCTTGTATTGCTCTTAAGGAGTTAATAATAGCCAGATGCCATAGCCTGATCTCTATTCCAGAAGAACTGAAGGAAATACATTCTCTGGTTGTTTTGTGGATTCACTGGTGTTCAAAATTGAGGAGCATCCCAGAAAATACCCTCAATTCCCTTACCAGCTTGAAGACATTGTATATTGGTGGTTTTTCGGAAGAGTTAGAGGAATTTCCTGGTCTCAGTTCTATCCACAGCCTCCAAGCCTCCCTTGAATACTTGAATTTGACTGGATGGGGAAAACTAACTGAGTTTCCACATCAAATTCAAAATCTAAATCTTACTGCTCTAAAAAGCGTGTCAATAACAGATTTCAAGGAAGTGGAGACATTACCGAAGTGGTTAGGAAACTTATCCTCTCTTAAATCACTATCTATTTGGGGATGCCTTCGATTAAAGTATCTACCAAGTGGGTTGTCGTTCTTCACTACTCTCGAGCGGCTTACCATATACAGATGTCCTAATCTGGTCTCTGCTAAATTAGACGAGATCCTCGGCGGCCTTGCTTGCTTGAAGACATTATGGATTGGTCCTTTCTCAGAAGAGTTGGAGGAATTCCCATGTCTGAGTTCCATTCACAACCTTGGCACTTCCCTTGAAGAATTGCGTTTGTATGGTTGGGCAAAGCTAACTCAGTTGCCACATCAAATTCAACACCTCACAGGTCTAAGGCACTTGTCTATATGGGATTTCCATGGAGTAAAAGCTTTGCCAGAGTGGTTGGGAAACTTGTCATCTCTTCAAGATCTATGCATCAAGTACTGCGAGAATCTGAAACATCTCCCTTCTGCAGAATCCATTCGACGTCTCTCCGAATTGAAATTCCTTGAGATTTCAGAATGCCTAGTGTTAGAGACAAGATGTCGCAAGGAAAGCAATTCAGAGTGGCACAAGATTTCTCACATTCCAACCATCAGAATAAATGGAGAGGACATATAATCACAAGATTCAAGTTTCCGAGAGGCAAATGGTATGTCTCATCTCTGGAATCCCAACTCCTATTTTATTTTTCTTGTAATTACACATTTTGAAATTTATGAATTCCAACAACTAATTCTCTCCTCATTCTATCAGTACTGTCAATTTATCAATTAATATGAACTCAAGGTTTATGACATGAAAATTATTTTAACTTCAGGTTTTTACATATTAATTAGAAGTTTCCTTTATCTTTCTACACTTTTTTTTACCTTATTCCATTTCTTTTACTTAATGTGTAGCTGACGAATAAATAATCTGTTGATTGGAAGGAGGATTTCTAGAATTCAGAAATGAACCCCAACAACAAGAAGCTATTGGCTTCTAGCTTCTAATAATTTAACTAATTTTATGAATTATAGTTGTGTTCTTTGCAATTATGTCAGTATTATTTGAAAATTATCTGTTGCACATGGAGCTAAGATCCATACTAGTTAGATTCTTTCTCATTGCAAAACATGTTGTTGGGAAGCAGAGGGTTGCATTACAGCAACAGCACAGGGGGATTTCGTTTTTGGTTGTGAAGTGGAAAGTTGTAAAAGATGATCCTCATCCAATAAGTTAGGCAATGGCTCGTGAATGGTAGAAAAGTAGCTTCACCATGGGAAACTCATTCTGGCATGCTTTCTAGATTTTTTTGACTCTTAATTACCATTTGAATTTGAGTGAGGTCTTACAGTAAAACTTGCTTCTTTTGAAATGTTTTTGATAATACAGGATGTTCTTGGAGGTGCTCAATTTTGGTCAACTGGAAACACATCTAGTATCTCTCGTGTGTTCACTGAAGAAAAACTATTGCAGGTAAGAAATCAAGCCGAATTTTGTACAAGTTATTATTTTTTTTAAAGGCATATGCCCTTTCAATTCCTCAACATCAGCTGCATTGTATGTACAGATTTGATTTCTTGTATATGACTGCTCGCTAGTTTCCTATTTATTCCATACAAGAGAGATATTGATTAGTCAGTTGAATGATTTCTTATACAAAACCTTTAGAGAAGAATTTGTTTGTGTTTGATTTTGAGAAACTTATTAAGACGACTGGTGCAATGAAGATTAGTTGCCTGCTCATATCGTAAAAGTCTTCCATGCAGTCAGGGTCCATGGTGGATATTTGTAACATTGTCTTGGATGGCATCTGCTGGAATAGTAAGGTCAGCCTCAAAGATAATTTCCAGCCCTGATCTAAAAGCTAACAATCATTTGTATCCACTTTGACACAAAATATTTGAATTGGCTATTATGCAGTAATTTTAACTCGCTTCATGCTTCAAGAGATGGACATACCAGGATTAATGCAGCAAAAGAAAATTTAAGAGGGTTCTCTTTGGTGTATTCTTAAGGTACTTTGGTCTTTCAGAGAATCACTGTACATTTGTACAATGTTCTCTTAAATGAGATGCGTCCCTTTCTGGTTTCCATGGAGTAAAGCTTTGCTAGAGTGGTTGGAAAATTTTTCATTTCTTCAAAATCTAACGATTACAAATTGCAAGCATCTGAAACATCTCCCTTCTGCAGAAGCCATTCGATGCCTCTCCAAATTGAATTCCCTTCAGATTTCGAAATGCCCAGAGTTAGAGATATGATGTGGCAAGAAGAGTGGTCCTGAGTGGCACAAGATTTTTCACATTCCAACCATCTACATGAATAAACAGTTCATATAATCACAAGATTCAGGTTTTTGAGAGGCAAATGGTATGTCTCATCTCTGAAATCCCAACTCCTATATTTTCTCATAACTCCACACTGTAATTTATGAATTTCTAACTCTAATTCTCTGCTCATTCTATCAGTACTGCCAATTTATCAATCAATATGAACATCATGTTATCACATGAAAATTATTTAACTTCATGTTTTTAAATATTAAGTAGAAGATTTCTTTATCTTTTTAATCTTATTCCATTTCTTTTACTCGATGTAGGTGGATAGGAAAGAGGATTTACAGAATTCAGAGATGAACTCCAGCAACAAGAACCAAGACTCTACCTTCAGGTAATTAATTTTGTGAATTATAGTTGTGTTATTTGCAATTACCTTGGTATTATTTGAAAACTATCCATTTCAATTGGAGCTAAGTTCCATTTTACTTTAGATTCCTAGACAAAACATGTTGTGAAGCAGAGTTATATCAGTCAGTATATCAGCTTATATGTTTATGTTTTACTATTATATCAAAGATAATTTCTATCCCTGATACGGAAGTTAACAATCATTTGCATACACTTTGACACAAAATATTTCAATTGGTTATTATGCAGTCATCTTAGTCCACTTAAAGTATCAGGGAAGGCCATAGAAGGATGACTGCGGCTAGAGGTTTCTCTTTAGGGTGTTCTTAAGGTACTTTGACCATAGAGAGTCATTGTACAATGTTCTCTTAAATGAGAGGTGTATCTTTTTATTATTGTTCCAATTTTTTTTATGTTTTGTGTTTGGCAAAACTTGAGACACAGTCATTGTACTATTCAATTTAATAGTGGATTTTCTTGCGGTTTTAGTCCTGTGTTTTTCCCCTCCACAGTGGAAGGTTTTCCACGTAAATTCTATGTTATATGCTATCTATATTTTTTATAGTGCCTAATACATTTATATGGCCGTCACTATCACTATACTCAAATGTAATTGGCTTGGTTGGAATCCGATTACCTGGGTTTCTATTCTAACTACTTTACCATGTATAGTCACATTCTTGCTCATAAACATTGTGTATTATTATATTTGACATGCTTGAATTCAATATGTTAATTGAACTCATTTTCTTAAACAAGCTTACTTTTGAATTTGGAATTTGAACTTGGTTAGAACTTTAGAACATTAAGCTCGACCAGAGTATAATTTTAATTTGAGCTGAAGCAAGGGCAATTTACTTTTTAGCATAGTAAACGCACAATCTCCATGGACCACCCCCCTGTTTATAGTGGCAGATCTTCTCACGGGACAATGAGGGGGCAGACAATCTCACAATCTTGTGGGGTTAAGGCAACACCTTTCAATTGTGTTTGGTTATTTTCTAAGTTGATCTTACTTCAGAATTCAGACACCCTTTATGATGTCTCGCCTCAAAATTAATACCCTTTGGCTAAGCGGTTGTTAGAGCATAACTTTATGTGTCGAATTCACAGGAAAGTTATATTAAATCAACAAAAAGAGTTGTCACAATGAGAAATTAAATTAAAAGATGAATTCTAAAATTAAAAATAAAAATATTTAAATAAAAGATGATAATTGTAAAAGACAAAAAACAATATTATGATGAACAAGACTTCAGGGTTCACTTAATTGATTTGTTTAACTGTTATAAATTTTGATTCCTATTTATTACTCAATTGCATGTTTCACATCCTAAACAAACAATTGGAAGATTTAACTTTGAAAACCAATAATAATGACTAATGTATTTATTCTGAAAAAAATTAATTTCAATGAAAAACAAACTAATCTATCCTTACGAGCTATCCGAGAGCGATAATATATCTAATCGATAATACTGCAGTAAAGGATCAACCCGCAAAACAAATCTACTAATCAATTATATTCTAACAAATCACACATAAAAAGAGCATGACTAATCTTATATGAAATTTGATAAATATAATTTTCAGGGTTTTCAGATCTGAAAATAATTAACAATATCTCAAAAATAAAATTAAACAATAAAATCTATAAAGGAATCAAAATAAAGTAATAAGTCAAACTCTTCAATTAAGATCTTCCTAATCTTGTTGAAAGTTTAATTGCCCTTTGACATAATTCTCTAGCCTTAAAAAAGAAAATAGAAGTTTGGTAACAGCCACTCCAGCCTTGGAACCCCCTCCAAAATAACTTGATGGGTATTTATAGAATTTTAGAAATCCTAATTAAAATGGATGTGGGCTGGGCTGGGGTGGGCTGAATTACCGCGCAAGGGGTCGACACTCTTTTCAAGGTGCCGGCACTTTGAGTGGAGCGTCAGCTGCATCCTTCGTGTCGGGTTTTTGGCCTTTTGTGAATTTTACTTAATGGCAGAATAACAGTCTTGGTCCCTGACTCTTGGATTCCGTGCAAGTTGATCATCATATTTCTGAGCTTTGCAATTTGCTCCTTGATCAAGAATGGAGAAAATCTCACTTGAGCCTTTAAACTTCTGATTTATCCTTAGATCCTCATCTTTTCAGCTCTTTGCATTTAAGTCCTTTTTCTTCTAATTCTCTCCATTTAGTCATCAAACCTTTAATTACCAAAATTTTGCACAACATGAATAGAGTGAACAATTATGAAATTATTTGTAGAAAAATATAACTCTTAAACCCATAATTCCACAAATGTCCATGGTTAAACACACTTTAGATATACATTTTCATGCTTTCATCACTTTACTTATGTATGAAATGATTTTTGATGAACTCTAGTGATTGGAGAAATTAGCTTTTATTTTTTCCCCTCTAATGATTTAGTATAATGTATAAACAGGATTCAGAATCCCCAGTCCTGTGTTTGGTTGCAGAATCTAAATCAAAGGCTTTTCTTTATCAGCAGAGAATAAACCAACAGTTCTATTTAGTTATTTCCTCTTCCTTAAAGGAACATTTCTCTTCTTTCTTTCTTGCCTTTTTTTTTCACAAATAATTAGAGCTGATCTATGGTGTAGCTTCTAGTCTCATGATCAGGTATCTGACACAGTGTTTTCAACTTCTATGTAGTTTTTGTTACTTTTGAAGGATCAAAGCATGATGTTCATACTGATTTAAAGTTCCCTGATGCTCCTACCCTGACATTCAGACAAAGTCTTAGGTTGATATAGGTGAAGGATTAATACTTTTCAAAGTACAAACCAAATAAAATTAGAAAAAATCAGTCTTTACTCTAGATCTTGTAAAACATCAACAGTAGTTGTGCAAGATGGATCTTCTTCTTCTATCTTTTCAAGTATCCTTAACACTCCAGCATCTACAACCTTAGCTATAAAGTTCTCATCAACTAGGACATTGGCCGTTTAGAAGTTTCTATGTACCAACGGAGGCTTTAGGCTGTGCAGTTGGCATAGTCGCATAGACCTGCACCAAGTAGACAGAATTTCTCTTAACCTCAATGAAAACTAGCATTTCCCTCATCAGATTCTTCTAGATTTAACTTTAGCTGCCCCCAGAGCTATGGTTAGCCTCTGCTTGAACTCTAGTCTAGTTGATGAGTCTAGTCCAGTGTCTGAAAAACAATGGATGGATATATAAACTTTGCATTTACAACCATGCAGAAAAAACCAATTTTGTTAAAGGATTCATACTATATAGGAGATTGCGCATGCTGCCATTTGGTAAATACTCATAAACTCTTTTGATCCACTTCCTTGACAGTAGCCTAGAAGAGAAACTAAGTTTAGATGTCAAATCTTGAACAGATAGGTTACCTGTTTGTCACATAAACATGTTACTTTCTTTCTGTTTTCAAATTTCTATAGCTAGAGAAAAGTACTTAAATGTTAGGCATCTTTATCAAATTGATCATATCACTATTCTACAGAATGAACTGACCCCCATATCAAAAGTACGAGAAATGATGGAAAGGAAAAGAATTCCTGATTAGACATAACATAGATACCTTAGAAACAAGTTCTGGGGTTGGACCTGAGCACCTGGTTGCCTTTTGATGGCTACAATAGTATAGCAAAGCAAACCTTTATATACTTGACTAAAGCTTCCATATCCAATAAGGTTACTTCCATTGAATTTTCTTGTAGCTTGCTCCAACTCTTCCATTGTGAACTGTTGTGGGCAATGTAGTGCAAATAAAGACTCACCATAAGATGAACTTTGTCCAGCTTCTCTGTTCCACTCCACTGCAATGTGCAATGTTGAGGCAGGAATCATTCAATATCCAACAGTAAAAAAATTGTGACATTATTCATGAATTTCTGTTCAATGAACAATGCCTACTCGGAAGGATCCCAGGAACCTGTCTCGGAATTCCTATTAGACAAGTTCTTGGACTGTGACTTGCAGAACCAAAAGAATCCAACGATTAATATCACAAAAGCAGCACTTCCAACTATGGTTGCTGTCTTTGACATCTCCTCCTTTGAACTTTAACATTGAGACTGTGATGTTGAAGAACATTAAAATTTCACATAAAAGAATTTAAACCAGCTTTATTAACGAAAGGATGCAGAATAATACATAAACAATCAAATTACAGAATCATGAAGTTGAAGAACAGATTTCATATACAGTCCATTCAATACGTGCAACAGGATTAATGGTCCTTATGACTGAAGTTCCTTTTATTTACATCTGCATTTTTACCAATGTGTACTCTGAGTGCTGCTGGTGCCAACAGGAATTCAGAATGGTAAACTGGGTGATCTTTAAGTATAGATGAAGGAGAAGAGACCATAAGACAGCTCATTTGCCTTCCCAAGCACCCCACTACTGTTATGTTGTCCAGCATTCAGCGTTTCTAATCAGAGAGAAACTGGGAAGAAGCCATGTATCACTCAAGAACATTCTGTCCTTGCAAACAAAGCCCTTCTTTTGTTTTCATTTTTTAGGATGAAAATCATGAAGATTCCTTTCTGACGCTTTGCGGATATGAGAGTCGTTTTCCGCTTCCTCGGTGGTGCGCCCACCTGGGCTTACCTCAGCTTTCTTCTTCTCTGCCAAATCCTTCCCGTTTTCGCCTCATCTTCCTCTCTCTTAATATCGCCTTTTCTGGCTTCAATTTCAAAAACCCTAAAATGTCTACTGTGTTTTCTCCTTCCCAATGTCTAGCTCTGAATCTTCGACCAATCTTCTTATCCAGAATCATCCATTTGGCAGTTCGTAGTTTCTATTTCTTGCAATTTTACTCGAGTTACGTCGGCCCTGGAAATCGATGGGTACCTCACCTGTGGAAATCCAAGTGCTGAAGTATTAAAGCTTGGGTTTGGGTGATCTGTATATTCATCAAATTACAGGATGGATTGCTGGATTTTGAAGGTGACTTATCTATTAAAAAACTCTCTGACTTAATCTTGCTATTCTTGCTTTGTGGTTTGTAGGATTAATTTGCAGATTTGGGTATTAGTGTTTTGCAGGGAAGATAATCCATCTCCATTATCCCTTCGTGTTTTTCGAGTTTGGTGCCTAAAGTGTGATGATTGTGGATCTAATTTTCGAATTGATTTTACGGTTTAAGTGTTCTGATGCTTTTGGTTGGTTTTGCCAAGTTTATCTTGGTTTGGAGAATTCTGTTACCTTTGTTTATGGCTTAGTTAGTACGGTAAAAGCAGAAATAATCTAAAAATATTGCTATGTTTTGTCACTGGTTTTATCTCTATTTTTGCTTCGTTAAGAGGAGGGGATGATATGAAGAGAGGTACTGATGTAATCAAGGGGTGGGTAGTATGGAGTAGGTCATTGAGAGGGAAGTTGGCTGTGGGAGAAGTTCTTTAATGAGAAGTTGCTGGCTTTCTTCTCTTATGGATCTGCTTTTTCAAGCACTATCAGTGGGGTATTTTTATTCAAGGATCTCGATCAAACCTCTCTGTCTTCTTGTCGGTGTTCCATGGCATGAGATAGCTATTTTAGGCAAGTTGCAGGAAGGGTTATGCTTGCTCTGTAGCTGTGAGTCTTTGGATCCATCTCTTGCCTTGTTCTTCACTTTGGAAGAATTGAACGATGCCCCAGCTATTAAAGAGCTTCCTTGTTGGAGATGTGTTGCAACTTGCAAGTAAGGTGTTTGGGACTCTCCTCCCTCAAGTTATGCATTTGCTGGAGTGTTTTATTTTTTGGTAACTTTGTTTCTAGTTGTTTTTGCTTCTGTTGTTACTGTCTCCTTGTAAGATTTTGGTGATGTTTTAATGGTAGTACTAACTTTGCTTTTCGGCCAAAAGGAAAAAAAAAGAAAAAAAGAAAAAAAAGAAAAAAAAACATTAATCAGATCCGTTCCTTTCCCATTGCAAAACATTTTCTTGTGAAGCAGAGAGTAGCATAGTACACACAATGATGGCGTTCATTTTTACCTACAGGCATAGAATTATTCTGTCCTTGTGTAAAATGATGTCACTATTCTATTATATCTTTATATCAGCGTGTATGTTTAGGCAATAGCGCAGATGTTTAGAAGATAAGTAGCTTCACCAAGTACAAGATGATTCTGATTCTGGTGTGATTTCTAATTGCAAAGAAATAGAAGAGGAGTCGATAATTCAGGTATGCTCTACATATTTTTTTGTGTTTTAGTTACTAAGCAATTGAGTTTGAGCAAGCTTGTATCATAAAACTGGCTTACCTGCTGAAAAATTTGATCATACAGTGTGTAATTGGAGGCGCTCAAATTTAATGAATTGGGAAGAAGTCTTGCATCTCAGATATGTTCCTTAAAGCAAAACTGTCACCGGTAGGTCTCAAAACCAGTTTGGTAAGTTAGCTAATGAATCCATAAAGACATCCATGGGTAGAATTATATATATCTCAGAATTCATTTAAAAGGCACACATATACTTTTCAATCCTCTTGTTCATAATTTTATATACTTAAAAATCTTTTGAGAAGAATTTTTTTTATTGCTTGGTTTTGAGAAACATATATGACAATTAGTGCAACTAAGCTTGCCTGTTTTATGTAGATGTATTCTGTCCACTAAGGGGGATTTGAGGAGCAAGTTGATGCGGGATATTTGCAACATTTTTTTTTTTTGGATTGCATCTGCTTTTAATAGTAAGTTTTTCAGCCTGGGAGATAATTTCAATCCTGGATTAATTTTTTTAACTTCAATTCAATAGGAAAACTAAGCAATTATTTGAATGCACTTGAGAAATTATATCAATTGGTTATGCTGGACGAGTAACTCACTTAATGCATTAAGGGACATATAGACTGCAACAACAGGCAGCTTAAGAAGGGCTCCCTTGGGGATGTTTCTAAGGTACTTTGACTACAGGGAATCATTGAGTAACAATTGTGAGCTTGGAGTGTTTTTTCTTTTTTTCTTTTTTTCTTTTTGTTTCTGGTTTTTTCTTCAAATTGCTTTAGGTTTTAGGTCTCACCAAGAACTTGAGAAATAGTTGCTGTCATATTTATTTTAGTAGTGAATTTTTGGTGGCTTTGTCCAGTAGTTTTTCCCTCTACATTGGAGGGTTTTTCACATAAATTTGTATTCTCTTTTAGTTAATTTCCCCCGTGGTGTTTGACATTTGCTTGGCTATCTTTGAGACCTCTACTTTGATTTATTATTATTTGGCTTGAAAAATGGGCCTGGAGTGGTCTAAATAGAAACATCAAAGTTGATTGCCCATTGTGACACATTAAATCCAAACCAGGACCAATCAGATTCTGTTCTTGGGCTAGCATCAACTGCTGGTTTTTTTAACGTAAGACAAACTTGGAATCATTTATAAAGGTAGAATGGTCAATGCTATTATGGTCTTCAAATTCCATACCCATAGTCCCCTCAATTGGATGACACTTGTTTACTGTGCAATGGTGACATGTAGAGTCCAGGGATCACTTCTCTTTACTGTAGCTACACAAGTAGAGTTTGGCAAAGACATTTCTCACTAGGCATGCATACCATGTTTTGCTTTGTGGGTAAATTTGTTACCATGGCTTTGCAAGAAACTGAAAGAGAAAGTCAGTTTATGATGCTTATGTTAAGCATGATTGGGCTTGGGCTGCATCAATTGATAATATTTGGC